GGACATCATACTGTGCCTTGCATATTCTATTTGCTGTATGATCGACCAAAGCTTGCAGTTTTATTTCAGCTGAAAAGTCTGAGACAGATATATCTGCAGGATAGCATAACAGCTTTGCATCCCGAACATCATTACATGGAGGATATATATCAACTCCCATTTCAACTGCTTGATTTCGAATAATTTTGTAGGAAGCTTTTGTTAATCTAGCATCTAAAAGAAGACAAAGAGCTTCATCTTTAGACTTTCTACAATCTTTTTTTAAGGTTTTTTCAGTTTGGTTTTCTTTTCTCCGTTTAATTTCTGAAGCAAATTGTAACGCAGAAGCAGAGTACATTTCAGTTAAGTGACTAACTTTATGTTTTTTGGTTTTAGTAGAGTAGTCATCAAAGTTTGTCTTATGTGGTCTTCCAATAGGTATTGGTGTTACATTTAAATTTTCAGGAACATGGCTTTGCAGCCATTTTTTGTTCTTTTCTTCAAATAGAGCCATGCTGCAATATGACTTGCGCCACTTATCTCGTAGATGCGTTATTATAGTTCCTAATTGCTGCTTGTTGCAATCCAAATTCATAGCATCAATAAGTTTGTCCACAATGCTAGAGTCAGATATTTGTAGATTATTAGGTTTATGCATAATGAATGCATAGATATCAAAATATTTCATTTTCAGCCTACAAATACAAAAAATATACTATTTTTGAGACATTTGGAGATAAAACAAACTCCAAATATTTATATGTTTATTTTAATGTGATAAAAATATAATTTGCTAAAAAATTGCGATGATTGGAGCCTGGAAACACAAAGAAAAGCCAGAATGTTGGCCCCCTGCCCCAAAGAAACTTGTAAAAATCATTAATAGAGACGCAGCTGACACCCACCGACAATAGGTAAAATATATATCGATAATGTACATATTGGGCAAGATATTTTAAGTCTCAAATTTCTGGAGCACCTTGGAGCTCAAAAGTATTTCATTATTTAAGTGAAATTTTCACTAAAAAAAGTGCTTTAAATACGCCATCATTAGAAATCAATTTATTTGATTTAGCTTACGTGTAAAATAATTTTGCAATAGCTCATTTGATAGATAATACTTAGCTTTATTTAATTATTCAATAAAAAAATGAAGTTTTAATAATTAATAGCAATTTTATGCTTATTACTAACACGAAAAATATTATTAAATTAAAAAACAACAAAAAAAAAAAACTTGAAAAAAAAATACCTTTTTAATTAACAGCTTAAAATGCAAACGGCATGATAGTTATACAGAAATATATACATTTTATAAAAGCCGGATGTTTAAGCTATAAAATGGTATATAACAATGTCATTTTTGAGAATATTTTTTTTATACTTTTTTCCACCACCTGGCCCACTGTGCCACGTCAGTAATTAAATTGCTGTCTAAAGCAATTATTCCAGTCATTTACTCTAGAAGATTTGTGCACGTAGATCTTTTGGATAAAAAGCCGTGTTGATTAGGTGTTATTAGATTATTTATATTAAGATAATCAGCGATACTTAAACTAACAATACTTTCCATGACACGACAGCAAGTACATGTGAGGGAGATAGGTCTATAATTGTTAGCATCTGAAGTAGATCCTTTTTTAAAAATAGGGGAAACCGTAGCTTGAAGCCACTGTTTTGGTAACGAGCTTGACGTAAAATTTTATTCAAATATAGGGAAAAGTGGGGCAACATGGCGAACGTTTTGAAAGTCCTGAATTGTTGCAAAACTATAAGTCGTGAAGCCATAATACTTTCTCAGTATGTTTATGTTATTAAATTCTTTTATTGCCTGCATGAATTTTCAGTTTACAAAAATAACAATTTGAAATAAATATTAAAATAAAATGTTCATAAATTTGTCATCTGGTCACGTGACTGGGGCAAGATGACTTATTATGCAATTTTTACCTCCAATTTTATAAATTTTTTAAAACTACCAATAACTCTAACTAAAGTAACAAAAAATAAACACAAATTGCAAAAAACTACTTATAAAGAAGTTAAACTTGAAGGGCACCATCCATTATGAGAAACCGAAAGTGAGGAATTTTTTTTTAGGCGCTAAAAGTAAACTTATGTGTATAAAACTGCGTTAATAATATTTCAAAAAGCCAATTAGTGTTTTAAAATACAAGATGCAAATACAGTTTTGTTTTTACTCAATTTTAAGATTTTTTATTGAGTTGTTATATGAAAACCCATCTTGCCCCATTCGCCATGTTGCCCCGCTTTCCCCTATATGAAAGCGGAATACATATTATATGTGCTAACTGTTTTAAAAGTATATTTGGTATACCGTCAGGTCCAAATGATGTGCTAGGTTTTCGATTTTTTAGTTTTCGATAAACTATCTTTGCTAAAAAATCTACGAAACTCATCTTAATATGTTCACTAACAAAAGTATTTATTTTAGGCAAATTTACGTCATCAACGGTAAAAACACTTCCAAAGTGTTTGTTAAACACTTCCGCGATTTCAACATTGGTAGTAGTAAAGTTGCTATTTGTTTTTATATGATATAATTTTTTTTGGGGTTGTTTAGATTTTTATTTACATAACTTAAAAACTAACTTAAGTTATTTTCTTTGACCAGTGTTAGTTCCACATTTTTGTGGTGTGTGGATATGGCTTTTTTACATTTTGATGCATATTGGATAAATGCTTTTTTGTGCAAGGTGGTCTTTGTGATTGACCATCTTTTCCATAGAAAAGATTAGCGAATTAGCATTTTATAAATTTATTTTGGATAAGAACGACTTTTTTTCTTATGGTATATTGTTCTGATTGGTACAAAACAATCAATACCTTTACGAAGATGATTAGAAAAGATGTTCCAATACTCTTCAGTTGTAAAAACAAAAGAAAAATCGAAGTCACAACTTATTTTTGATAAATAAGAATTAAAAGCAATTACATCTGTATTTTTGAAATCGTAAAAAAATTCAGAGTTTGTTTTGGGCTGAGAATAATTAAAGGTGTTTATATAAAAAAAGACTGAGTTATGGTCGCTTGTACTAAATGGACACTCAACGGAAATATTACTTAATAGGGAAATGATATTTGAAAGAACAAGATCAAGAATATTATTTTTTCGAGTGGGCTCCACTACATATTGGTACATACCAAGATTATTTACCAAAGTTAAAAGAAGATCATGAAATTTCTCAATTGGCGAAATGTAGTTAACCCAATCAATTTTCGGTAAGTTGAAATCTCCGACAATGACAAATTGGGGAACAGATTCACAAAGATTGCTAATAATCGAAATCATTGATTCAAGATAGATATAATCATCAAGAGAATAGGAAGGTGGATGGTAACAAGTAATTAAGCGGAGTTTACTAGACCAAAAAATTAAATCAACACAAATGATGTCAATATCTTTGTCAGTTTGAGTAATACTTACTATGGTGGATTTAACGTCATTTCTGCAGTATATAGCTACACCACCGCCAATTCGTACCCGGTCTTTACGATAAATGGAATAATAAATTTTTGGACAGACCATGGAGTTCGGGAGTTTATCATTGAAAAACGTATCGCAAACACAAATTAAGGCAGGTTTGTTTGACTCAACTTATAAAAAAAATCGTTAAGTTTGTTGGCAAGACTTCTTGCGTTAAAAAAATAAACTGTAAAATTGTTGAACGAATTTGTGGTTAAGTGATTGTATGAGTTTATAAAGTTGCTACGTTTTGAACAGATAACTTTTTTAATGCTTTTGTTGTTTAGAGCAGTAATACGTTGTTTATTAATGCTTGAAGCATGATTTTTTTGTAATGACTTCGGAATAACTAAAGAAGTTAATGAGCCGTGACTAAAATATTTTTGGTTTTTGCAATTATAAAATGATTGCTTTTTGCTTATTTTTATGACATTTTATGACTCTTCATCTAGTATAGTCAGGGCCGTACCAAGGGCGGGGCCAGCCGGGCCGCGGCCTGAGGCGCCAAAAGTGGGAGGGCGCAAAATTCCCCAAATTAATTTATTTATTTTCACATTATGAAACTAATTTGCGTGGCGTCACTTTTATGTTGATAAAATAAATAATTAAAATTGCGCCTCCTGACGAACTTTAAAATAAAAGCTCATTTACCAAACAGAAGAGCGCCCTTAAACACTAAAAAGTTGTTTTTTCTGAACATTATTTTTTACAATGAATCGTGCAAAAAAATTATCTGGTGCTGAATTTAAGAACGACAATTAAAAACCAATAATTATTTATGATATAAACAAATGATTCATTAAGTATCATATAAATTAATTTAACGCAAACATTAAAAATTATTCTAAAAAGAAAAAAAATATAGAAAAAAAGAACTTCGAATTTAAAAAAAAGAACGCTTAATTTAAGCGGCTTAAATAAAGAAACAAATGAAATGAAAGCTAAAGAAAGTAAAGTAAGCAAATAATAATAAAAATAAAAAGGGAGAAGAAAAGAAAAAAGAAAAAATAAATAATAGAAGAGCGCAATTAAAAAATAAAAAGTTGTATTTTCTGAACATTATTTTTTACAATGAATCGTGCAAAAAAATTATCTGGTGCTGAATTTAAGAAGAAAAGAAGAGACCGTCTTGAAAGTGACGCAAAACTAAGAAATTGTTTCAAGAAGTGGTTGGTAACAAACTCTTCTGTGGAAAAACAAATTATTTCAGAGGATATTTGCAATGAAGTTGATAATGATTCAACAGCTGAAGTTGCTGCTACATCTTTAATTACTGACTTAAATTCATATCATCCATTGGAATTAATTGAAGAGGAGATTTTGATTGGCCAAAGTCAAGACGAATTTGGACCAAATGATTCAGAAGCACAAGAAGATAGAAATTCTCAGCTTTCCAAACCAATTAAAATGGGCAACAGTGAATTTCCTCCTGAAATCTCAGAAATTTCAGCAACCTCAGGAGAAAACTTTCAACACAGTGATCCAGCTACATGGCCTAAAATGACAGATAAAACAAGTTGCTTTTTGATTTAGCATGGGCCGGAGCAAGAAAGAAGAGAATTGGGAAAACCCAAACACACTTTGTGACTTTGACAACAGAATGCGACACTTCAGCTCAAAATGGTATGAAAAAATTGATCCCAATGGTGAAAAATTTGTTCGCTACTGGCTGCTGTACAGCAACAAAAAAGATTTTTTGTTTTGTTTTTGCTGTCTGCTATTTTCAACGACAAAAACCAACAATTTTTCAGAAATTTCAAAAGGATTTTGTGACTTGGAAAAACTAAACCCAAGAATTCCAGAACACGAAAACAGCAATGAACACCAAAGATGCTATTCTGATTGGAAAAATCTGGAAAAAAATCTCAAGGAAGGAAAGACCTTGGATTCTGATCTGCAGAGAGTTATCAACGGAGAGATGAAAAAGTGGAGAGATATCTTGAAAGTGATTGTTGATGCAATTTTGTTCTGTGCCAAGAACAATCTTGCCCTTCGGGGTTCAACAGAAATAATTGGAGAGCAAAACAGTGGCATCTTTCTGAACTTAATTGAGCTGATAAGCCATTATTATCCTTTAGTGGCTGAACACGTTGCATCCGTTAAGGCAAAGAAAACCACAACATCCTACTTTTCTCCTCGAATTCAAAATGAGTTGATTGAATTACTTGGGCAGAAAGTCAGGAGTGAAATTTTGTCAAATGTCAGAGAAGCTAAATACTACTCTGTTTTTTTTGACTGCACTCCAGATGCCTCCCACAAAGAGCAGATGACCCAAGTAATCAGGTATGTCCACATCACTGAGGAAACCTGTACAATTGAGGAAAGCTTTGTGGACTTCATTGAATCTCACGAAAAAACTGGAAAGGGCCTTGCAGCTGAAATCACCGAAAAACTGGAGAAGGATGGCCTGAGCATTTCTGATTGTCGGGGCCAAGGTTACGACAATGGAGCCAATATGTCTGAAAAATATAACGGCGTCCAAGCTCACATCCATTCTCTGAATGAGTTTGCAAGATTTGTTCCATGTGCAGCTCACACTTTAAACCTTGTTGGTGTCCATGCTGCTGAAGTTTCTCCACTCATAATTACATTCTTTGGAAAAGTTCAAGCCATCTTTAACTTTTTCTCAAGTTCTACCTTAAGATGGGAAAAACTGATGAAAACATTGACCTCACTAAAGGGAAATAGTATACAAGATGGTCTGCCAAAAAAGAAGCAATCACCCCACTACACAGACAAATCAAAGAAGTTCTTCAAGTTTTGGAATTCATAATTCACACTCCCAAAACAAATGTTGTCTCAGTTTGCAGTGCAAAAGAGCTCATCATTCAAATTTATTTCAGTTTTCTGTGTTTGTTGGATTTTTGGTGTCAAATTCTTTCTTTAATTGACCGGGAAAACAAACTGCTTCAGTATAAAAACATTTCAATTGACATTTCAGCAAAAAAAATGAAAGGACTGAAGGCTTCCATTCAGAATCTGAGAGATGTTGGGGTGGACAACATTATCAAAGCTGCTGCAGAAACAGCTATCCAAATTGGAATTGAAGGAGACTTTCCTATGAAGAGAAAGCGCAAAGTGAAGCAGATGGCACTTTATGAAGCTGAAGATGACTTTTGCCGTTTGTCACCAGAAACAGATTTCGGATCTCAGTGCAACCTTGTGTTTGACAGCATTCTCACACAAATTGAGTGGCGGTTTGAAGCTATGTCTGCAGTATCCTCAGATTTTGACTTCCTCAGTGGACATTCTCTCTCCAAAAGTTCAGTGGATGAACTTAAGACTAAAGCCAAAAATTTGTCTAAAATTTACAAGGCAGATTTAGATTCTTCAGATTTCCAGTCAGAAATGGCAAGCTTTAAATATCAAGCTGCTGCCATGATGGAAAACTTTGAAAAATCTAGCCCGATGGACATTTTGCAGCTCATTTATAAATACTCATTGGCTGATGCTTATCCTAACACGGCAATTGCTATTCGCATCTTCCTCACCTTACCAGTTACAGTTGCCACGTGTGAAAGAAGTTTGAGTAAACTTAAGATCATAAAAAACTATTTGAGATCAACTATGGGCCAAGAACGTTTGTCTTGTCTGGCAGTAGTTTCAATTGAACATGAAGTGGCCAACGCACTTGATTTTGATGATGTCATTAGTGACTTTGCCTCCAAAAAAGCCAGAAAAGTGACTTTGAACTGAAGTTTGTGAAACATTGGTGACAAATTGTTCTTTTAACTTGATGCGATAAATTTTGTGATCAATAATTAATTTTTTTTCATGTAAATATATATATATATATATATATATATAATGTGTTTTTTGTATATTTTTTTGGGAGGGGGGCGCAATTTTATTTGCTTGCGCGAAGCGCAAAGGTGGCCTGGTACGGCCCTGAGTATAGTACCTAAAAATGCCAACGTAATATGATAAGTGGAGGAGTTAGTCTCAAAATCCAACTCAAAATCAGAGTTGTCTCGATTAGCACAATTTTAGTGACTTGCATTGGCTAAAGCCCTGGGTTTACAGTAAAAGTTTTTCAAAAAAGTTTTGATCTTCCTTATAAAAAAATATCTATTGGGTATTGGTATTATACCCAAAGATATTAAAAAATATCTATTGGGTATAAACATACTTATAAAAATATCTATTGGGTATTGAAATAATTCGAAAATTTATAATATAGATTTAATTTAGATTTCTTTTTTGATTGAGTGCCGCGATCTGTGGTAATTAAGCAGAGCTCGTTATGAAGCCTCTTTAAAAAACTTTAATATGCTGTTGCTATTCTTAATAAAATATCAATGCTAAAATAAAATTCAAAAAGCTTCAAAAAAAGAGTGATATAATATAGGATCAGTCCTGAGTTTAAAATAAATATTATAATATATGATAAAATAATAAGAATAACATATGTAGGTATGTTGTAACTATAAGGTTATTTTTTTTATGTAGTTATTTTACGACAAGTGTGTAAGATAAAAACTACCAACTGAAGCTATTCCATTATAAATAACGGTATTTTTATCATCAAGTATTCGTACAAGTGCGATAATTATCTCCGCAAAATTTAAATTAAAAATCAAAGTTTTGTTTGAATATGTGGCAAATCAAATATACTCTTATAAGCCGAAACATGAGCCACAACATGCGTGTTCAATTTAGCGAGACCAATCTATGAGAAATAAAGGTACGTACAATAAATGTGGTGGAGACCAAACGCGGTAATAAATGAGCATGAAACTTGTTTGATTTGATTTGCTTGAAATAACAGAGAAATTTGTTTTGAATGCATCTGAATCAACTATACAACTAAAAATATAACCAATTGGTTTAAAAATCTATGTAGCTAAAAAACAGCCGATAATTAGCGATGTAAAGCCACGTAAATGGTTTGACACACCATTGGATCATATAACCACGAAAACAAACACCTTTTCCATATTTTGGGTTAAACACTGCTTGAGCAGAAACAATTGTTTTCACTCAATGTTGTATTGGTAACGATTGATATGACTTATCGTCTAATACCCTGTTTATATTTTTAAAATACTGGTTTTAATGTTTTTGGTACCTGATAGTTATGCTACAAATGATTTGTTTGGTAATTTTAATCTATAATGTAGAAAAACCCTTTAAAAATATTTGACATCATATAATTTTTTTAATCTAAGCATAATTAAAAGGATTTTATGGTTTTTAGGATTAATTTGAAATTTTCAAACCTTTATACTACATTTGTTTATAGCTAGTTTTGAAAATAGGTTTTTACTCCACTTTTGAGTGCTGAAAACCAGATAATATCTTCTTCTGCATTTAAATTTGATCTGGTTTTTTTAACATATTCTTTCCAATTCGTAGAACTACGTGTGACGCATTCTAGAGTTTGTGACGCATTCGTTTGTGACGCATTCTAGAGATACTTCCTCAATATCAAAATAGTTAGAGTTGGTTATGATGTCCCTAAAAATATTTTGATCTTTATCACTACTCAAAAGAAGCGTGTTTTGTTTTTCTTTTTCAAAGTTTGATTTATCTTTGTTTCTAGGCAATTTCAAAACTATGGGTCTAGATCAGGCTTTCTGTTTAAATTTTACATGATGCGCCCATTCAATGACTTTTTCCCACTTTTCATTAAATAATTTCTGAACCTTCTTTCAGTTTCATCTTGTTAATTCTTAAATTATATCGTTTGGACCTGTCTTCAAAGTTCAGCATTGTTGCAAATTATTCTTTTGAATCTAAAGATAACAAATTAGGCCATGCAAAAGTATTAGACCATACAAAAAATCACGTTAACTCTCCACATCAGGAGATTATGATTAAATTCCACATCTTTAATCATAATCTCCACATCAGGAGATTATGATTAAAGTCCTATAATACTAAAAGTAATTACTAGTTTGCTGGGAATAAAATTGAGATAAACTTAATTTTACTGCTTTCTCTATGTGTTGGATTGTAGAGCAAGGTCTTAATTTTACTGCTTTCTCTATGAGTTGGATTGTAGAGCAAGGTCTTCACCACTATTAAAATTATGGCTCTCTTAAAAGTCTTTGGACCCAGGCAAAATGAATTGTGCAGTACATCTCACTAGTGGAATCCAAAAAAGTTTTTATTCTACTATCGTAAATAAAGTTGAGAAAAAAGGAATTTTTTAAAGGCAATCAACCAAAATTATTAGCCTTTTAAGTAGCTGAATGAGAATTTCCGAAAATTGGGTGAGATTAAAATATAAGAATGTGTGTTTATTATCCACAGATAATGTGTGTTTATTATCCTACAGAAACTTGAAAAATGGAATCCTACAACAAAAGAAGACTACTGCTGGTCTGCAATGAAAGAACATCAAGAATAAGCAACGTAAAGAAAAAATTTCTTCTATAATAAAATTATTTGTATTGAGAGAAACTGTATTTCTTGATGTTTTAAAATAATATTTAATATACTCTCATACAAGATATCATCTTTCATATATATATATATATATATATATATATATATATATATATATATAATATATATATATATATATATATATATATATATATATATATATATATATATATATATATATATATATATATATATATATATATATATATATATATATATATATATATATATATATATATATATATATATTAGGGTAGGCCAAAAACAAAAAAATTTGAAAATTTAACATGTCTGCAAAAAAACGTGATCCTTTTCACATCTGAATACAAACTATAAAAAAAAAATTGGAAAAAAACATCATTGAGTGCTGCCGAATTTGATTTGATTATTTTCATTTTTAGTCTAAAATATGTCAAAATTAGGATTTTTTAGGAAAGTGAAAAAAGATTTTTATATCTATAGGAAATATTTGTTATTTGAGGCTGTTAATTTAATAGACAACACGTTTTTTACCCTTTTTGATTTTCCCCCATGTATCATTTTGTATTACTTGTTTATCAACTCCTCCCCCGCCTCCTCTTTTATGGGCAGTGCTATTATTGTTAAAAAAGATATATCTCTAAGTAATTTTTTGTTTAAAGTTTACTAATTCTGCTATTATAAGAATTGTAATTCGCGTCACATTGTAGCTAACTACCCTCTCCATGTGGTATTTGGTGACACTTTCAATACCCCTCCCCCATATGGGAAAAGTTTACCACAATACAAATAATAACTGCTTTTATAACTCCATTTTAAATGATAGATTGCCTGAATTACAGAAGAGTTGATTAATTTGGAAAAAAATTATTTGGGTTTATTTAAATAATACGTGACAGTCTTATGACCAGGCTAATGAAAAACAGAAAAGATAATAAAAAAGCGGTTATTATTTATACTCAGCTAAATCAACGAATAATTGCTTCTTATTACAATTGCCTACAACTTTTCTGTGATTTTCAACCACGTTAAAAACTTCGTTTCGTACAGCCTCGTCCTTAAGATAAGAAATTTTATTTTAATCTGTTCTAATAGTAAATTTTTATGATTATGTAGATTTTTTAATTGCCTTCTCAACTCATTTTACGGCTTACCTTTGTAAGTATTTGGAGATAATCGGAACAACAACTTAATTCCTCTCTCAGCCGCGTCATTAGTCACTTTTAGAGTTTTGATAAACAGCTTCATTTTCAAATAATAAGCATTGTCGTCCCATTCCGAAGAAGGAATTTTAAGCCATTTTCCATCATCTTTTAAATTGAGAAAAATTAACCAAGACTTTTTCCCAATATAAGAAATAATATCGGAATTTTTTCTAATCAGTGGAAGAGTTGGTTTACCGCAATTGATACCAAGTGGTTTTCCGTATTCTAGCATTTTTTTTTGCAATTTTATCTTTACCATTTACAGAAAGTTTATTTGAAAATAAACTTAATACCGACACCTGCTCGGTTAGATACCAAGAGTGTCTGCTTAAAACATATTGAGCTTTTTCAGCAGGTACACCGAAGTTCGGAATACCTTTAAGTGCTTCTAGATCATTAAATAATTCTATATCATTAATTGGTGCAAAGCAAGCCTTTGGCGCTTCTAACCAAGCTTTAATGTAAATGGCTGAGCTAAAAGTCAAAAATATTTTAAAGGTTTTTTAAATCAGATTCGGTTAAATTTTTTTTAAATATTAACATCTTTGGTGCATAAAGCAAATGCGCCATCCATCTTGCATGATGGTGAGCACCACATGTTTTCCATTTCTTGGGCTCTTCTCCACCTAATAGAAAAATTGCTAGTTCTGCAGCCTCTTTGTAATCGTCTCTTGGATGATGCTTAGACTGCAATACTTTTTCTAAGAAATTGCGAGTTTCATTTGCTTTTTGTTTTAAGAATGAATTTTCAAGATCGAGGGATCTATTTGAAAGTTTGAGAGGAATTTTTTTAGAGTGAAGCCATTCTTTTTGAAAATTTTTAAACTCTATATTATCATCATATGATGTCTCTTTTTGAAATAAAGTTTTCCAAAACGACCCTAGGATTAATTCTAAAACATGATGACGACATGCAAGCCAGAGAAGCGTTTTTATAGATTTGCTTTCTTCAGGAAGAGTTGCTGCTCCGTTTCTTACTCCAGTATTACAAACCGTTGTATCGAAAACTTGGGCAACAATATTATCTTTAAGATCCCATTTTTCTAAATCTTCGATGATTCCTTTACATATAGAATGTCCTGTGCCTGACTGAATAGATTTAATAGATAAAATTTTACCTTTCTCGCAGTTTGGAAAACCACTTTCTAAAACAGTTAAATAGTCAAACTTTTTACCAGATATTTGCTTCATAAGTTTCCCATCCCAGTGAAGAGTTAAATAATCTAATCTAACTTTTTTTTTTAATTCTTCAATTATATTTCTTGCCATAATTTGTCTATTTTGCTTACGTGCTCTTCTAATTGTGTTTAGTGAAATATCTACTTCATTAGCTTTAACACCACCTAAAAAATACAGAATAAAATTTTTCTTATCAACTCATTACACTAATTAAAAACTCATGAAACTGATTAGCGATTTAAATAACAATAAAAAAATAACCTAGAACCAGGATTGCTGAAACATTTACCATAAGCTGTGCGTTTGATAGTTTAGATCTATCAGCTGTTGCTGTTATCATTGGATGACAAACAAAGTTTCTTGGCAAAATTAAATTGATATTATCTGATACAACATTTTCCACTACATTTGCAGAAGATTCCAAATTATTTACTTCATAATCAATTTTAGAAAAGCTCTGAGAGTCTGAGTACATAGAACTTCTAGACCCAGCAAAAAATGATTCTTCAGTTGAGTCAATATCACTTTTATAAATGCTGAAATCAACTTCTTTATCATTTATTTTTCTTTTCTTTTCTTTATTAATTCTTAATTTTTATTTTTCCTCCTTCTCTATTTTTCTTTTGACACTCAATTTCAACAAATTATCTTTTCCACCTAGTCCTCCGGTTTTTACTCCACTTTTGAGTGCTGAAAACCAGATAATATCTTCTTCTGCATTTAAATTTGATCTGGTTTTTTTAACATATTCTTTTCAATTCGGAGAACTAATATCAAATATATTATCCATTATTTTTTTGAAGCTTTGAATAAGTAAACCTTTTTTTGAAAAACATTTATGTTTAGACTTTGCAAGACTTCTCCATTAATCATGTAACTTAATAATACTTTTCCTGCTTGCAAGGAATATCAGCTTTATCCCAAAATACTTTAACGGTTTTCATCGTTAATTTTGCAGCTAATTTTAATTTTGAAATGTTGCTTTTGGTACCTAATTCTTTTGTACATTTAAAAAACACTTGAAGCGAACTGTTCATCATTTTTAATCGATACCTTAACAAGTAAACTATTTTCTAATTGAAAAATAAAGTTATTTTTGGAAATAAAAAATTTAAGTTATAAAAATCTTTAAATAGTATAAACCTAAAAAATCTGTAGACATCTCTAGTAGTAGGCAGAGAACTGTTATTAATATCTGCCAGCGGATATCCAACCAACCTATTTCATTGGTTGATTTCAATAATTTTGAGTATTTCTTTTTGATTGACTCAGTCAAATTATTTTTTGCAGACAAATTTTCTTTTCTTTTTTGTGTATGCAATGCCATGTTAAAATGTTAAAATGAATTAAATTGTATGACT